CCTGAGGTGTGTCATCCTTCTCCCTGAGGTGTGTCATCCTTAGTAAGTTTTATCACTTATAACTCTTAATTTTAAGTAATTTAAAAGAAATCATTTTCAATATAAGTACCTTTCTTCAGGTAAGAAATCGTTCATCCACTAAAAACTAAAGGTATTACTAAAAATACCTTTTCTGTCTCATATCTCAACTTCATTATTTTGATATATACATACATACATAAACTTTATGTATACTCGAATTTACGGGTCAACTCCAAAAACTAATATCTTTAATGATTTGTAAACACTTGTAACAAAACCAAACATAAACGTAACATAATGCATCTTTAATATAACTACAAGTGTTTGATTCTTGGACAAATAAGGGCTCTCCAAAATTGCAATCACTCTTTACTGAGAATTTTTATGAAACATATCAAAGATATTGGTCATTAAAAAAATATCTATAAAAACACTCGATAAAAGCTCAATAATATTTACAAGAAACATTTGTTTAATTGGACCTCCTCGAAATGAAAATTACTGCGATCTCAATGATTACGATTAATTTTGACAACTTTTCCCATCAAAAACGTATTGCTCATTAATCAGATTATTTTCAGATGCCAAACTAAATGTACATGTACCTTTTGAATGAACTGACTTAATCTTCATATATAGTTTTTATTTATTTCTAATTGATTCTAATTATAAAACTAGAACACCCATTATACATAGCCTAGGGGTACATGGAGTTCTGTATATATTAAATATGATAACGAATTTAAAGATATTGGCCCTGGAAATTGCGTAATAATGGATAGCATATCCATTCGTTAATCGGTAAGGAAACTTTCTATTTCGTGAAAGTGGAAGACTATCACTTTACAAGTGCTCTCCTTAATGGATCTCAAAGAACAACTATAGCTTTCCTGTTTGGTATCACATTCATTTGATGTTTTCAAGCCAATTGAAGCTTCAGCCTTTTATTTTTTTTAGTCTTGTCTCATTGATCATTCCACCCTACATTATTCATTAGAATTGCACTAAGAACCAGAATGAAAGATAAAATGAGAAATGTAATTTATAAGGAAGATAAGGAAGATAGCAAGATAGACTGAAATAAACAAACACACGCACACACAAACGAATAAATGAACGAATGATGATATTGTAAAGTCTGTTGATTAACAGATATTAAAATTGGTCAATAGACCTTTTCTGAGATAGCGAACATGGTGTGTTGTAGTCGAGCTTACATCTCAGTTTTGTTCATCATACTTTATGTGGCTTGTGTATTGTTTGTACCGAAGCTAGAACACAATGCATCTCTTGTTTATCGAAATCAGAAAAGACCTATTAAAACAGTAACGAATGTCCGTGTACTAAGCAAAATAACTTTTCATCATGATAAATATAGAAAACTACAGCATTTCGAACCATATCCGTGACATTGCCATTTCCAATTATTTTCAATAGTCGAGCGATAGCCTCGCGGAATGTGATTGGCTCGAAAGATGTTGTCAGTGCTGTACCGCGTGACAGTGTCTTGACAATGACGTTACTGTATCAGAGCATTGTGATTGGAAAGTCATATGAAATATGCTATATTTTAAACAACGTATCTAAATATCGTACAAAAACATTAGTTATCACATGTTTCTGCTGTTGCGCAGTTGTCAGTCGTCGTTGATACATCTGCTAAAAAAGGCATAAAAAAAGTAAGTACGTAATTTCTTGATTGCATTTCTTCTCTTGCGTTTGTATGTGTATGAAAGTTTTAGTTTTTGATAATACTGGGTTTCAGCCAAACTCGTTTACTTGCTAAACTGATCTTAATAAAGTTTAACTATACTGTAGTTTCGGACGTTCGTCAGAGAGCTATTTATATTTTAGTACTGTTTAGTACTGTTTAGCTATTATGTCGCCGGGATCAATATTCTTGAATGAGCTTAGTGTAGTTTATATCTTTAAAACAGAGTACAAGCACTACTGAAAAGCGTGAAATTTGAGGTTGAAGCTTAATTTGAGGCATAACCGATTTTGCAAAAACAAAACTTGCATTTCATTAACGTTTTGCAAAGTAGTTCATTTACCTGTTTTGTGCTCCTAATCTATCTACAGCTGCCCGTAAATTACTTTGGAGTAATAAAAATATATATAAAGAAATCGCACCATTTCATAAGTTGGAAGACTTTCGAAGGGAAATTAAGCATTGACGCATCTCATTTTGGTTTCAGACTTTTCCCATTTTATTCCTATTATTCAAAGATGAGTTAATATTGATTCATATTTTGACTTCAAGTGAACGGATCATCGCGGATAGATTAGATATGAATATTGATAATGATGCATCTTATTTTGATCCAGGTTATGATACAGCGGGTAGAAAGTAATTAGACAATGTTACCAACGTACACTGCACGATAACTCAAGCATGTAGCTTATCACCCACGACCGATAATAATAATGATCATATGGACACGTGTATTTTACGTGTATTCTAGAATAACTGTGTTACCTTCCCAATTCAAGTAAAACATTTTGTGTTTACGTACAGTAACAGCCTTTTGTTAATGTGCGAAAGTTCGAGGGCTGTTAGAGGAAAAGAAACTTACTAAATACACCTGGTTGAGAAATGAATCATAAATCATTAGAGAGCTTCACATTTTTCTTCATTCGATTTTATCGAGCCATTTCTTACTTACTCGAGGAGAGGATATGAAGATGGCAGGTGTGCCGTTTAAAGAAGTCTGGGCACTATTGTTATCGTGACGTCATTAGTATCCTGTAGAAACTTAGTTAAAAATTTAAGAGATTCATTCAGAAGATGTAAAGATAGATCAGATATAAATATTGGTAGTTGGTGATGCATCCGTTTTGATTCCGGTTATGATACAGTGGTTATTGATGTAATCAGTCAATATTACTTACCACCACTATAAAAAGCCCGTAACTTACTCAGTCACACAAGCACGGGCCATGACAAAGTGATGTGTGTATTCTAGAATAACTGTGCTACCTCTCCAACTTAAGTAATATTGTACGCACTGACAGGCATTTAACAAAGTATGATCCACCATTAGCTAAAGTACGTTTTACTTAACCGCTGCGACGTGGTCAATTTTTGAGAACATGGAATCACGGGAAATTTCATTGAAATAAGAAATTATACCGGTTGAACGCAGGCTAAGGAAACGTCAAGACAACTTCGTTTGGTACAGGCCTATTCGGACCCAAGCTACTGTGGAGAAATGTGTTTTATTTTGTCGAGCTATTTCTCTATTTTGAGAAGAGGATACGAGGTGTGGCATTTAGAGAAGCCTGGGCACTAGTGTTATTATGACGTCATAAATATAGTGGTGAAATTCAGTTAAGAATTAGTAGACTTACAGAAGATGTAAAAATTTATATGAGCTTTGTTATCTTATTAGATCCAGTTTTCGCTATAAATTCTGTTAACATTTACATATAAATGAATGATATATCGTATGTACGTAGCTCTGTCCACAGCGAGCGGTAATTGATATGATTCAGAGAGTTGAACTTTGACAATTATCTATACAAAAAAAAAGCAATATACACGACGTTTGATCGTATTTCTAATTCATTATAGCATACAAACGATCATTTGAACTACTTCATAAGAAAACCGACAAAACGTGAGCTTTGCACAAAGAAACACTATGACCGAGGTCATTAAAGAACATATTACTAAGGTCCCGTGTTGTTTTTGGAATAATATTTAACGATTATTCGCCGAAGGCGAAGTGAATATCGGGGAATATTTACCGAGACGCGAGTCTTCGAGCGGCGAAGTAAATATTCCCCGATCAGTATTCACTGAGGCTGAGGCAAATAATTGTTTTAGTATAAATACACAGGTGATTCTTTCAAAAAAAGAAGATAAAAGATAAAAGACATTTTTTTCCGGGAACAGCAACAAAGCGGCTGGCCGCCATTTTGGATTATCGCTGGAGGTGATTATCGTGTGATAGTGCGAGTTTCTCGACCAATCAGTGCGCGAGGTTTTCAATAATCACCTGTGTATTTTTACTAAAACTTATATAGCATTACTGATATGCCTTAGAATGTAGGACTATTCTGCGTGGGTTTTATATATGCTGCTAAAAATTCCTTTGATTTTTAGGCGCTCTGTGACTAGGTTTCAAATAACTAGGTCATAAGAAGGATATAAGAAAAATAAAGACTACATTAAATGCGGAGCGAATTAGTTAAAAAGCGAACAAAAAAGTGAAAAAAAAGACGGAAGTTCAAGTAAACTGAGGGCAATTGTGATAAACAAAGTTTCTAAATGATTGCTTTGAACATTGTGTTATTTCATAATGTAATTTTTTTCTTCTCGCTGATATTTTTCTGCTCAGACAGCCGCTATTTTTGTCTTCACGCAACACTCACTCACTCTCAATCGATTTTTTTTCTGTGTTAAAAATTTAAAAGTCAAAATGTTGGTATTTGGTCTGAAATGAGGCAGATCGTGTTTGAAAGATAAATGACAGGCAATGTATTTAAAAAGTAAACACGATACTTATTCATTTTAGTCTAAAATTAACATTCATATCCTTTGAATTTCAGCTTCACTATCACCAGATACGAATAACATACATCAAAATTCCCTTTATATATAAATTTTTGTTCAAGAAATATTAACCTGTTTCTAATTCAATCATATTTCTTAATTATTTTATTTCTTTTCCCTAAATTTTTCAATATAGTTTTTGTTTTCTAATGGACATTACTTATTCGCCAATGCTCTGACAGCTTTAACTTTACTTCCCCCGTTTGACATCTTTTTCCTTAGCTCAATAACACCAGGACGAGATCCTCGCTCCAATCTAGTCTGAAAATCAATAAGTCTGTCTGTAGTTAAACTAACATGATGGAGGAATATAAAGCTGGGTAATTAATGAAGCAGCTTAAATAATACAATTTTTTTATGTGAGAAATATGATCCATATATTCCGTTAGTGTCACTATGTGGTTTGGAAGTTAATGGTTTTATCGAACTCTTATCAAAAGCAGAATATCAACGAACTGAATCATCCAAACTGAACTAAATGTAGTTTTTATTTGTTTGGTTGAAGAAAACAACGTTATGCAAATTGGGATAACTAGGATTGAAACACTAGGGCACACTACAGCAGACTTGTTATATGAAGTCCTTTTTCACGGGTCGTGTAGGTTAGATATGGACAACACACTGACTAGTGTCGCACTGATCGAGATTACATCAAGGCTGTATGTAAATTACTTCTCATATCAAATCACTATTAACATCAAATTATTTTTTTTTWAATTTTAAATGTGGAGCAAAGCTTTTTTCCTGGTTTGTTTAACACAAGCGACCAATCGTTTCACAGCGAATAAAAATAAGGCCTGACTTGGAAACTTTATACGCATACTCTTAAAGCACAGTAGATATCAAAAATCATTAATTCTAATCATGCTATTTTTGTGAACTAAAAACACAGGAGTCTGTCCAATTCTCGTGATGCATCTGGGGGGTGATTGACGACATGTTATATTTACACAGATGTGACAATAAGTTCAAGTTGAACCAAACAGTTTTGAATAAAACACATTGAGGAGCGTTCATATTATTCTTGTAGGTGTTTGTAGAGCTGCACACTAAAATTGCTTGACGATAGAAGAGAACGGAACTACAATCTATAGGGCGATTTGTTTCTTAAAGTTAAAAGACTAATCTTTTTCAAGAAGTAGAGAAGACTAGACGATCCTACAGATAGGGGAACGAAAAATCTTGGTAAGTAAGTAAGTAAGTACCTCACAACTACATTAGACAAATATCTATTTTTATTTTTTCTGGAAGAACAAAAGCTAAAAATTATTTAAAATAGCAAAATAATATGACACTCTTACGAAACCGTTCAATATTTCATTGCCATTATACGATTGACGTTTTGATCAGCTAGATATTATAATGAATAAGCGAACATTCGATGCCTTTTCGGTGTTGCATTAAAAAGACCGAGATATTATTCCTATGATGCCTTTTCCTTATTGATACCGCTTTCTTAGTTTATTCTCGTTCAAAACTACGTACAACTTAAGCTTTGCAAGACTTTTTTTAAACCGATCTCAACATGGCTTCATTTTGTTAATTGTGAGCGATTTAACGACTGCTAAAGAGAATACTCGACCGAGCATATCATTTGACATCGTGCTAGAGCACACGTCCACAGCCAGCAAAACTATTGAGAATTGATTAAGACCAGAGTGATAAGATCATTGTATTTAGTCAACAGTCTTACTGTTGCATTGATATCCACGATCGAAGATCACTTTGAACCACCATTAATATTAATTTAAGAGAATTAGAACAAATCCAGTCTGGAATTCGAGTACAATTTGACAGAATAAGAGCATGAATGGAAAGGCGATTATTTTATTATTTAAGTCGGGACTACACACAGCGCAGCTGTTTAGATGGCTGCCTACAATAGAAAATAATCCATGAAGACGTTTTCGAATCCTGTATTGAATTTTTAAAACCAATTTAATGCGGATTTAAAATCTTGAAAGAAAAAAGGACGTCCTTGGGTCGTTGAGATGTCCAGGATTAAACACAATTAGAGTATCAACAACTTTTTCAGGAAAAAGAAGCGATATCCATAACTTTACCGGTAATTAAGGTTTTGACGCCCCCGCCCCCCCCCCCCCCCCCCCCCCCTAACCCAAGGAAACCTATGTAAATTATAAATCGTTTTACAAATGTGTGGTATAAATGATTTTATATATTTTTTCAAACCTTGTCAAAATTTTCTTTTTAAAATATTTTTTGTGAAATTTAGAATTAAAAAATATAGAGTCCCGCGAAAAATTTAATAGTTTTTTTAATAAATGGGTTTGAAGGTTATTCGGCGGTTTTGAGCAGTTTTTGTTTGCGCGCACATTTTGGGCTCAAATAATTGCATCTCTATAAAGGCGTCATGGCGTAGTTGCGCAGTAGCTTCATGTTTTTATTGTAGTAATAGGCATACACAGCCAATCTCCTACCAAGAGCCCGCCAAAATCTCAATTATATAGAAAAGCCTTTTAAAGTTTTCGAGCCAGTGTAACCTTGGTTTGAATTGAATGTGTTATGGAAGAAACATCAGCACGAGATTGTTAGTTAGCTTCATAGGTCCTCGGAATTGCGATAATAACTGTACCCCTCTCAAAGGATATAAATTATTTAGGTTTGGAAATGAAAAACAATGTGAATAATGACAGTTGCATTCAACAAAACTAACACAGCTTGCTTTCTTTGGCAAGTGTAAATTGAAAACACACAAACTTGATCAAACAACGGAAAGACACTCTTGGAAGGAGTGAGTATCAAGTTGTATGGTATTTGTAGTCTGTCGATCTGTTGTAGATAATGAAGAAAACTAATAAGTGAACCATTCCTGTGGGAATTTGATTATAATGACCCTGGGATATATTGAGGAATAAAATCTGGGTCAAGTTGACAATGCAGTGCATAGTGGTGGGACTGTTTTAGGAGGCGAAATAGACGCCATCTTGGAAATATGTAAAACAGTCAACTCGACCAAGTTGTTTCTCTCAGCATCCCCGAGAATGGTTAATAATGGGAGTTGTCCCTCTCCACCTTAGATATTCTACTAGGAAAAATAACTCACCCGTCCCCACACCCTCTCCGCACGCAGATGTGTACAGTTTTTAATTTCTCCCTGATCTTCATAAGCAGCACAACGCTTTTCACACTAAAAAGATAAAGGCCTTTAAAGTTCTTTCCGGACCAATAGAGAGTTTTAGATTTACGTTCACGGCAAACGTGAAACGTCAGTTGACCAGTAAAAAATTCTTTTAAATDACTGAAAAAGAATCGCAAAAAAGTCCAAGTAGTAGAAAAACAAAAGAGTATTTGCGCTTGGTGAGAAGGTTTGTAAATAGTAAAGTAAAATACAGGAAAACTATGAAAACGTGGTCACGTTTGCCGTTTGCGGGGAGAAAAAAAGTTAATCTAAAACTCTCTAATGTCTTCGGGTATGTCTTATACGCTCAGGTCAAACGTCGAACTTCACATGGGCCATACGTATTGAAAACAATCAATAATAAGGCGTTCTTTTTTAATGTAGTTATAGCTTCGGCTCGTGTGAAGTTTAATGTTTTTATTCGGCCTTAGCTGTGCTATTGTAGATTAATATATTTTCTTTGATTGGGATAGAACATAGAATCATCTCTTATTTTGTCAGAAAAATACCAAGAAATCTTCAAGAGTTTTACTTGATAAATGCATGTGTTGAAAGTGTCTAAGAACTAGGAAATCTTACATAGTGATCTTTATGATCCCCTTTGTAGGATTAATGTTAAAAAGCTCATTAAAAAAGATTACAGTGGGTGGGAAGACTATATCATTAAGATAAGCAAACACTTAACACAAGTGGAATCCACCCAACAATCTATAATAAAACTGACTGGGCGAGAGTGGATGGAAATATCTTACTTGTTATGGGCACGAACTGATGATGTCAAGGAAGGATATTAACAAAACCCCTCTCACTTCTGAAGGGGAACAACGGAAGGGTATACTGGGGTTATCACTGATCATAGTACTTGGCTCGTTAACCATTACAGATAACACACTTTATCTGATGGACAAAACACGCATCACGTCACACTTTCCTCTCTGCAAGACCCGGTTATATTGCGTAACACAAACATTTTACAATAACTTATAACAAATTTCTCGCGCGCTGATTGGCTATTTTTTCGAGTTTTTTTAAAAGTTATCATCAATAAGAGGACAGATAAATAAAGCTGACGTCAACGAGCGCGTGCTCTTACCGTTGATTGTTTTGATCACTAAAAATGATTTCTCGAGGCTACGCCTCGTGGATCCACACTACTTTGACAATGTGATGACGCAATTTATCGTCAATAAGAGGACAGACACATAAAAAACTGTTTATTATTTGTTAAATGAAATATGAGAATGTAAGATAAAAAATAGAAGATCCCCTTCATTCTTTCTTATCTATTTCTAACCAATAATATTAGCTAATTATAGTATTTATGGTTATGGTCCGATGCACTCGTACTTTACAAATAAATACTAGAGATCAAAAGTTCGAAGATAATCTGCACAAGGATATCAACTGATATATCCAATATATTTGACCTCACTTGCTTGAACGCGCTTTTACTTTATTTACTACTTTTTAGATGACATAGGTAATTGATACATATAAAAGATTAAGTTATCTCTTGGCCGATCTGAAGTTAAACTTCAAATCTTTCTTTTTGCTATTCTATTCGGATTATGCATTTTCATCTCTCTTAGGACAGGTATGGTATTAATTCAACATGCTAAATTTTGAAAGCATTATTCAACGCGATTTTCTCTCTGAATTTCCGAGCGTGCGCAGTGGGTGTCTTAAATTTGGCTCAAAACATCGTTTCTTAAGATTCTTTGTGGTTTTTCTTGGGGCGAAAATYAATTTAGTATAGTTCTAGTTGTTGGCTAGTGTTTTGACTCGATTTTGTCGTTTCAATACGGAAAAAAATTGCCGCTTATGATTAATTTGCTATATTTAGTCTAACATAAGGCATTTTTGCATAAGAATAGCTTAAGGCGGAAATGAGAAAATTTTAAAATTAAAACCAGCGTTATCGGTGAATAAATGACTGTTAATTGTAAAACTCAACAACAATAAAAGCCATTCTATTCCTGCCGTGTTTAAAGCCAGTTGTTAATAGCGCAGCGCGGTTATTACGTCACGAAATATGATACCTTTCGCGTGACTCAGACAAACAAACCATCTCAGTAGAAGAGGAATGACTGCAAATATAAATACTTCGTATCTAAATCCACTTAAAACAGCTACAAACTTGACTGAAAATGATGGAGTTC